AAGCACGCTTGTAGGATTGCAAAATATCTCAAGTGGAAGTTTATCTTCCCGGAAGGCTGGCTACTAAGAGCCGTATTCTGCGTTGGTTGCATTGGGATAATGGCATTTTGCTTGCTTCCGCATTTTGCTGGGCTTCCGTGTGCGTGAGATGAAATTTCCCGTTTTACTCAAATTGGATGGCCCAAGTGGTTGGGGCGCGAATTCACTGACCGGAAGACCCGTGGTTCGAACCCGACCTCGGCCTCTCGACTTCCCCTGTCTAGGCTTGGGCAACCTGACAGTATCCCAGCCCTCGTGCTTCCTTCTGGTGGTATGGCAGTTAGGTACCGAAAGGGTGCTACAGCTGAACGTTTTTTTTTACTCAAATTGGATGACCCATATGTTTCCCACGTACCCTCGTAGCCCAACCTGTGCTTGTCATTTGTAGGTCATTAATTTGGAAGGCGCTAGCATGTCTGACTGGGGCGGGTGTAGTGCGTATCCGTCTGGAAATGTTTGTCGCTGATTGAACGATGAGTGCAATAGCACTTGCGTGTTTTCACAATACATTTATCCACATAGCTTTCGGCTGAACTATAAGATTTCACACTTTGCTTGCGATTAGAACAATAATTTTTCGAATACAGCTTTTTCCTGTATTGATGGCAGTTCTGATTCGCGGGAACAGCTGTTCGTTCAGTGCAGGGGGTAGCGCCTCCGCATCTCGAGGTTCTCATCTAAGTATTTGGTCTCAGTGCTAGAATAATGCTAATCAACTTGAATAAGAACCATTAAACAGTAGAGTTCATTGCGAGGATGTACCTCTTCATAACAACGAAAGCGGGTAGCGATTAGAAACCTGTTTAATATCAAGCTGTCGTGTATTGTTTCACCGCCAGTCGACGTGTAATCCGAACATGTTTCGTGGAATACTGTCAAGCTAAGTGGAGCGAAGGAGAGTGTACTGGTGTTACGAGTTAATATGTCATCTATATTTCTGACAAAATGACACTATGGCGTTTCCCCTTGGACAGTGAACCAGTCAGTTTGAACGTCCCAAACCGTTTCCCCTCGGATGGATGCATTGGAGAAAATACAGTCCTATGAAGTTGTTTCTCAGATGGGGTTGTTGCCCCAAGAGAGAAGAGACTCTCATCTATTTTTGGTTTTGCTTCGTCCCAAAGAAGGAATCATCAGGTGTATCTTAGTGGACATGTTTCGCGGCATCGAACTCTTGGTTTGGGAGTAGATGGTGAAGTTTTCCAGCCAGTGATAAAATAACGGCTTGTCTAATAAAGACCGCACGAAACTCGAAATCTGTTGACCAAAACTTGGACCCGCCACCGCCCATAAGTCCTTCGATCGCGGGTATACTAGTTCGCAACACTGAGTAGAAGACCGCACAAACTCGAAATCTGTTGACCAAAACTTGGACCCGCCACCGCCCATAAGTCCTTCGATCGCGGGTATACTAGTTCGCAACACTGAGTAGTTCCCTGGATCCATTTCGGCAGAGCAACACGGAAATATAAATTTCGACTTTCACACGTTTAAACAAACTGTCGTCAATCTCACACTTGAAAACTCAGGATTTGCAGGTCGCTGGAATGATAACAGCAATGGACACCTCGCTCTAGCGGACCGGGCGGTTTGGTTTCAGTCCCAGAATACCGGGTACTGTGCGCCCAATCGCGATGGTTGTCCTTAACAGTATTGCTTCACAATACGGTGAAGGCATGAGTCGGGTCTACCAGATCACCCGTCTCATCGATTTATTTTGCTATCAATGATCTAAGGTTCGGCATAACAGCCGGTGAGGTTGACGCGTTGTGCTTCATGGTCTCCAGCAGAGTTGATTTGTGATGTGTTCAGGAACCCTCTGAAAGACACTTCGGCCAGTTGTACCTGTGTAGATACCACCACGACTGAAAATGACATGGTTGGTTGGTGGACATTCTTAATGCCATCCGAAATCCGATAAATGCAACCTCACTTGCGTGAACGATTTAAATTATGTCTGCGAGCAAGCCTTCCTTCGAAGATGTTGTCCCCTGACGGTAACTCTCTTTTACCGTCGTCCCACTGCGGGGAACAGTTGGTTTTTTTTTGCTTAATTGCATCACCGCTATTTGGTAATCCTATTTTGTTGCGTGCATCAGAGTAGCGGCTTATGGACAAGTAGGTGATGTTGCTATACTTAGTCGATTCCTACCTGGTATTTCACTCCAAAGCTGGAGCCATTGTCGATAATGGTATTTCGAATATGTCTATCCATACGCACTCTGTAACCTTTTTTGATTTGCTGCAATTTAAAATTATGTTTATTCTTGCAAGTACTCCCATTTGCACACGACTTTGGTTTTGGTATGAGACTCAACTGAATCCAGCTGAACCTCTCTTGTTTGCTATGCTCCACTTTAACTGAGTGAGCTGCACCAGGCCGCCTCATGTTTCAGCTGTACGAAGTTGAGCAATGCATCGTTGTTCAGAATTAACGTTCTACTCATAACCTCACTGAGAACTGTTCGACAGCCAAGGACCGGTGTTGCCTTCCTTGGAACCCATCAGGTAGACTCAGTCCCTAAATTCCCTCTTCAATTGAAGTAGACTATCATAAACAAGAGGTTCGGCTGGATTTAGTTGAGTCTATTGTCAAAACCAAATTCATGTGCGAATGAGGGTATTTGCCGAAATCCGTACAATTTCGGTTCAAGTGGAGCATAAAGTTGACGGGAAAGCGGGGACTGCACCTGTCTGACGAGCCCCGAGAACGGCGAAACCGGTGGTGGGTTGTCGAAGGGTTTTCAGGAACCAACGAAGTCAAACTGAAATGTTATTCGCATGCAACACTTTCTGGGTTCGGCATTCTGTGAGCTCGACCAATGATGAATACAACCTTTCTCGCACTGTGACTGTGATTTGTTAACATGGTGTCTTTCACCCGATGTGCGACATCTTGCCACAGTGCGGTATGTTTCACCAAACCAGACGGGTTTTTTATTCCGAATTTCGACGTATCCGTTTTCTGTTCCGGGCAATTTTGTCCCAGTTTTGTCATTTTCCTTCATTCTGTTAATCAGACGTCGTGATGTGACTGGGCAGAAAGTCGGCTCAGAAGAGCCAGCTCCTCGCCGTGAAGAGACTACGGCTACAGACGAACCGGGAACAAAACGACCGAAACCTGGCGATGGCGATCAAACAGACGTCTGGCGGTCGACCACGCAAACGCAATTCGCTCAGAGTAGTGCCCCGAAAACTCAGGAGGAGGAGTTTGACGAATATTTTGCTGACATGTTACTTTGATGCTCATTGACTTCTTTTGTACAGATATACAACACACAATCTTCCTTCAGTCACATTTGTGGGAACTGAAAGAACTCATGCTGTAGGATCGTCTTGGTGAAATCTTGAGGGTCTTCACAAACGGTTTTTCCCTACTGTATCCCTCGTTATACCATCATTTCTCCGATGAAAACTGTAAGAACACATAGCCAAATGCATTTTGACATGAAACCGAAACGCCTCTTTCTCTGAACCTGGTCATTTCTGTACCGTTTTGATCGTTTCAGGTTTGTCCGTAGGCGGGACACCAAGCTTAAGCTTTACTTTTCCCTTTGACAGTTTCGCCTTTGCTTATTCCTACTAATCTCGCGGAATGAGGGATGACCTTATGGTGAGAGTGAATTGTGTTCGGCTCTACAAGGTAAGAGAATGAAGTTGTTCATCTCACGGTTAGCAGTGCTGAGATCATAAAAGTGGCGCAAAGTGCAACTATTATCGGTGACGGTCATTCCTTGTGTGCGGGAACCTCCAGGGCATTGCTCATCACTTTCTGCGCGATGTTAATGAACACACTTTGGTCCATCTTTCTGTCTAGTCATCATCCGAACACTTAGGTGCTGCATATACGTACACAGCCAATCGCATTGCACCCACGGACATACATGCTGTGCTGTTGTTGGTTGTAACCAGCTGTACCGTTTTAACCCGTTTGTGTTGATTCGCCGTCTAACTTGTACTATTGTCACGTCAGGTAGACGCCGGAGTCACAACGGTGTTCTCAATCACGTAGTAGGTGAACATTGGCTAGCAGCTGGAATGCAGTCAGTTGCAATCAGAAGCCGTAGTCTTCATCCGGTTCCAACAAAGTAGCATTCTGTCTATATTGGTTGTTAATCAGGTGGCTGTTAATCTGTTCGCCGATCTTGGCAATTGATGACCAATCGAATCGAAGGAACGCGAAACACAGTGCAACAAAAATAACAAACGGACTAACATATTCACGAAAAACGCTGTCACTCAACTAGCCAATCACGTTAAGAGAAAACAAATACCCTTCAAACACTATATAAACGCACGCAGCCAGCCAGGAGGTACTCACCCAACTGCGCACTGATAATGTCTCCTCGTATGGTGACGAGAAGTTTGCAAGCCAATTGCCAAGCTCGGCGAACGGATCAACAGCCACCTGATCAACAACCAATAAACTCACCTGAGGTACCAATATTTCAACACATTATCATTCTGCCTATATCCTACATCAGTCACACCTTGTGTGCCGTTGTTTGCGCTGTTGTATGACCACCCACCTAAGTAAAATCCCACGGCGAATGAGTGCGATAAATTCCGGATCACATTGGTTCGACTCTTCCAACCATTTCAATTCCAAGGAACTTCTCAGTGGGGCTATTGGTTCGTCGAAAAACAAGTGTTTTGGGCCTGTTCTTGGTAAAACTGACCAATTTGCCTAAGAGACTATTTCTCGTTCGAGAGGATGTTTGTGACCAATCCCCTGGGTTTTTCAAACATGGAATTGCTGTGCTTTTCTTGGGATTCGGGTTGTTGTGAGGGAAACTCTTGTTTTTAAAGGTTTTCGGTAGTTTGTGTGGCTTTCTCGTTTATTTTCTAGCAGTTGATTCAGGTTCGATTGTCTTCAGCTGCTTGGCTGACTTAAGTTGAAAATTTACGTTCCAGCTCCCGAATTCTCTACTGGCTATTATTTCACGCTATTAATTTAGTTTTTTGAGGAACCGGGCTAATGGCCTGACGGACGCAAACAAGTACAATCCAGATTACTTTGAAAGTACACACCTCGACGGTTGAACTGAATGTGAACATTGCGATGTGTGTAAAAATACATGCACTTTTTCTCGGGTGATTGGTAACATAAAGTGAAATGCGACAGCTCTATGAAAGACAAGTGCGGGTAGATTAGTTCAACAAATGAACAGAACTAGAAAATGATTCATGATTTTTCTCTTGGTGGTCCAGCTGCGTTTTTGTCAGTCATGTTCGTCCGTACAAGACGTAGCAACGCAGTGAGACTCTGGAGACTGTAGTGGTCTAACGCTAACTGTGCCCTGATTGGAACGGCGCTACAGCTGATTGCGTTGAGATATCAGAAGACCAGGATGTCTCACATGTGGAGCGCGGAAGTCTCGAAAGCGATCTGAGCATCGAAGAACATTGAGCCCACAGATTCCACAAGGTAAGAGCCATCCATGGAAGACCAGGACGGGCTAGGCACACTCCTGTCTCAAGCATCTCACTACAATTATCGCTACTTAGTTTTCTGATTCAGCCGCTCGCCTTCAGTTCTGTTTTTTCATATGCACACCCCAAACCTTGCATAGTCTCAAAAGTAGTCCTCCTTGTTACACCCTACAAAGTATCCGCAGCACTTTTCCTCGTTGCTTTTAGTTGAGCTTGTTAGACGCGGAGTAGGTGCTGACCATCATTTTGCAAGTCGAGCACACAAACGCGCACAAACAGGGATCTCAGGTAGAGCGAAACATTCCGTATCGAGCGAGGTAAACCCGCTGGAGACCTTGAACACGACCAGTCTTTACCCTGCTATTGAAAGCGTGTAAAAAACAGTCTGCTGTCACTCCTTCACAAGGATACATTATTGCGTCTCTAAAAATCTTTCGGTCTGCTTGACAACTCTAAAACTCGCTCTGATAGGACACTTAGGAAGCACCTTTCTTAGAGCAGTAGAAATACCGATTCACTCTTCATGCACAAGGTCACCTCACATGTAGTCAAGCCGAAGAGTGTAAAAACTCTCCGATTTTCGCCAGTCATACGTGCTTTTTATGCACCGTCATGAATCAATTCGCAAGGAAGGCCTGTTGCTTTCTGCCCCAAATGTTACTGATTAATATTTGTCAAATTTAAAGTGGTCAGGTTTTACGTGGCGCGTATTCAAAAAAGACTTCACTGTCATTAATGTAAATTTTCTGAAAGCGTCGAATCCACCAAGTTCGCATGGCTGAGCATCAACCGCTTATCACTGCGCTTGGCAGACAAATCAATAAGTCTGCACTGCCATAACTACAGGACAGTAGCTGAGCAGGAATTTCATACTCTTCTTCACACATTTTTGATCATGTTTCCGCATCGCTAGACAACCTGGAAGTTCTAATTTTCATACCTGGATGAGCTATGTCAATAGACCTGTCGTTCCTTCTATTTACATTTTGATGAGCTATGGTCCAATCCGTATTGCGCATAACGGAACAGTCTTTCTTCATTGGGAACAATGGGTTTCAGCGCAACTGGGGACAACAAATGCCAGAATTTCATTTCTCCAAACCACTGTTTGAACATCCCCCGAGTTCATGAAACAAAAATGTACTCAACAGTGTGGATATGAATACAACAAACAAACCTTTTTGGAAGAATCATTTAGAATTTTGGAAGTGCGGCTGGGTTATCCCAACGTAGGGAGTGTTTGTCTTCCTCTGAGGATCGCTTCTTCTACGATATGGACAGTGGTTTTGTCCTTCTGGGATTATCTATTTCAGAGGATTACTGCATTCGCGTTGAACGTCCACGGTGTTTCTGCTATTGATGAACATGTTCCTCTCACACCTAGTCAGATGGAAAAAGCATTTGACTGAAGAGGTCTCATCTTTCAGCGTACTTCCCAAAAACCGGGGGAAAGTTTATTGTGAGTTACGGAACACCGCACGACTTCTGTGAATTACATATGAGCTGTTTGTTGCTTTGATTTCGAACAAATTTATGATCAGTACTGAATTTTCCTCATCATACAGGTTCTTCTTTTTGTGAGTGACATTTAAGAAACGGGGATGACCAGTTCCTCAGCTCTGAAGAAAAGAGACTTTGTAGGGTTTCATGGCTAGATAGCGACAAATCTTAGGATGATGGGATCCCAAGCCATCCACCACAATAAACCCTCATGGAATGCCTTTCATGATACAGCGATTCCACGGTAGTATTACGAAACAATATAATGCGCCACTCCTCCGAAGAAACGCCGGTCCTACTTAGTGGTCCAGATCTACTTTCCCCATAAGTTTTACTATTATGGGTATTAACAGAGAAAGCGGAGCTGTGCTGCTTAAACTAATCATCTGAGGAACTAAACTAGATATGTGAGAAAAACGCGTTCAGGTGTCGTGTTCGAGTTGTATGATATACGTTGCTTTGTTTGTTTGAAAGAGACATACATCCTCTTTCGCTTGAACAAGTCTGTAGAATCACTGAGACACCAATACGGATTATTCCATCGGATTTTGGAGTGCATGCCCTGTAGTTGGGTGTGCGGTTTTAGTTTTAAGAAAGCTAGTTCATTGGCTTGGCGAGGTCACGATTCCTGGTCGACTTGGCTCGTTCTGACTGATGTGGTCAGTCGCAGCTTAAGTAAACAACAACTGATGTTGGGATCATTTACCTCGTCTTCGGTGTCTCCATTAGGTGAAGTGTGGTTCGAAGTTTTATTGTTTGTTTGGGACAATATACCCGAAGCACGCACATGGAAAATACGCCATTTTGGGACAGCTTATATGTTCCGGCAGAAACGACTGCCTTTCATGATGTTTCAGGTCAGTTTGGCCCGAGAAACAAAAACCAGTGTGCCTATCTCAATTCGCATTTCGTCCTTACAAACCTGAGCTTTCGATCTCCATTAAATGGCATGTTTGAAATTTGACCAATATTCGCTTGAATGTGGTCCGAATTCTCTCATTTGATTTCCGAACAATCACATAGTGATACTGTTTCCACTTCCTGTGCTAAGACACTTGGAACAAGCTCCAATTAAGAGACCACCGTGCTCCGTGTTGCAGCCGAACGTTCATTATCTTTATTCACGCATTCAAGGTCCCACCTGAAGTAAAGTCGACCAGTTGGAGCAAATGCGAACGTAATTTGTTTTGAACGCATGCGAAAGAACGTGGGCGTGGTTTGTGCACAGCATGCGACGTTGCACAATCGTGCTGCAATGTCGAACCCAAGAAGGGTGAAACCGGTCGTGGGCTGTCAAGGAGTTTTCAACAACCTTGTGAGTAGTTTCCTTTACGAAAATATACTGCGATATCTCGAATATCGTGCCAACTGAAACGTGAGGCGGCTTGTGTGCAGCACATTCAGTTGTAGAATATCATAAGCGAGAGATTCAGTTGAGTCTCTCGTGAAAACCAGACTGATTTGCAAATGAGTGTATGTCTCGATGACTTATTCAGTTTTGAGAATTAGTTGATCACAGAGTTTGGAAGATTACAGAAGTTGTCCAAAAGTGGTGAAAAAAGTTTCCCGACAAATTCATTCGCAAATCGAATTGGTTTTCACGAGAGACTCAACTAAA